CCGAAATACGGTCTCACGAGGAAACCCTCATTGACTTTATAAATCTGTGACGGGTAGCTTTTGAAGTGTTATTCAGGTTTTATACATAATGCGACTAGATCTTTTTCCAGCTGTACAAAATGTTGCGATCTCTGACTGGACCTTTATCTCGCTCCCTCCCTAAAACTTACACCCCACACTCAGCACTCCTTGGTACAAGAAAAATGGCCACAGCCAACACTCCTGATTTCGTACGTTTTCTTGATCAATTCAACCCCTTCGAGACCATGCATACTGACACCAGCCGGCGCTCTTTAGAACCGCATGCTTTACACTCCTTTGGCTCAGATCGATCCTGTCGTCCAAAACATCATAGACAAGGAGACCTGGAGGCAGCTAAACGGAATTGAGCTGATTGCTTCGGAGGTTGTACCTCGCTGTGTCGACTAACAATTATCCTAGTCAGCTTACAACGTTGTTCTTTCCGTTACCCAGAACCTCACCAGCCAATCTGTAATGGAAGCGACCGGGTCTTTCCTGACAAACAAGTACTCGGAAGGTCTTCCTGGAGCCCGTTACTACGGTGGCAACGAATATATTGACGAGCTGGAGCTCCTGTGCCAAGAACGTGCTTTGAAGGCTTTCAACCTTGATCCTGCCAAGTGGGGTGTCAATGTTCAGCCCTACGGCGGTTCTGTAGCAAAGTACGTTGTAATAGCTAAACTTCTTATAAAGCAGCCCTTATCGATTTCCTTTTTCCAGCTTGGCAGTTTTCACTGCTCTTATTGAACCTCAGGACCGTATAATGGGTCTCGGTTTAGCTGACGGTGGTCACCTTACCCACGGCTACTACGTAAGTCAAAACTTTCAGTTGTCCTTACGGATGGTCCCAATAGATTTTCTTTAGACTGCCAAGAAAAAAATGACCGCTTCGTCAATTTATTTCCAACCGTTTCCCTACGCCATCCATCCCGAAACCCACCTCATCGACTACGACGCCCTCGCCTCCCAAGCTAAAATCTTCAAACCCCGTCTCATCATCTGCGGTGCTTCCGCCTACCCGCGTGAATGGGAATACCAAAAAGTCCGAGAAATAGCCACCAAAGAAGGCGCTTGGCTAATGTGCGACATGGCACACACCAGCGGTCTCATCGCCGGCCAACAACTCTCCAGCCCTTTCGAATACTGTGACGTCGTCACCACGACGACACACAAAACCCTCCGTGGTCCACGTGCTGGTATGATTTTCTTCAGAAAGGACCTCGAAAACGCTCCGGATTTGGAAAAGAGAGTGAACGACGCTGTTTTTCCTGCTGTTCAGGGTGGACCGAAGAATAATGTGATTGCTGGGATTGCGACTGCGCTCTTGCAAGCTTCGGATCCGGCGTTTAAGGATTATGCGAAGCAGGTTGTTGCGAACGCTCGTACGCTCGCTGCTTCACTTGTAGAGCATGGGTATAAACTTCAAACTGGTGGGACGGATAACCATATCGTTCTTTGGGATTTAAGACCTCTTGGGTTGACGGGTAGTAAGGTTGAAAAGATCTGTGATATAATAGGGATCACTATTAACAGTACGTTTTCCCCCTCTTTTCCTTTACCTTCCACACATAAATCTCATTTTTCTTCTTGATCCTATAAGAAAATGCCGTTTCGGGTGACGCCTCCGCTCAAGTTCCCGGTGGAATCCGTCTAGGCACATCCGCACTCACCTCCCGCAACTTGACGGAGGAAGATTTTAAAGTCGTTGCAGAGTTTTTCCATCGTACCATTCAGATCTCTCTTTCAGTTCAGAAAGAGGCGGGATCCAAGTTGCTCAAAGATTTTGTCCGTGTGGCGAGTGGTTCGGCGGAGGTTAAGACGCTTAGGGACGAGGTTAGGGCGTTCGCTAGGCAGTGGCCTTTGCCTGGCGTTGATGTGGCGAATTTGAAGAAGCCTGAAGGGATTCATGATGATTGAGATTGGAAAAGCTTTCTAGTCCGCCAACTATATCACTTGCTTTGTCGCGTGTCTCGTCGCATGGGATTTGTATTTCTGGTGGTTGCATTCAATTTGTATATTCATAGCCCACATCCATCTACGAGTCTCTCCCAACTCTGGCCTCAGTATAGCTGGCTATGTGCCGGTTTCAGAGTTCAGAATATGTTCGAAGCGTCCATGTTGATTAGGAGGAGAGGGTGTAAATTAGGATTACGTGCATGCGTACAAATCACATGCAGCTAGGACGACCTCTCGCAAAGTACTCGAGAATTGGGATCTACGAGGCCTTTCCGTGAAGCCGACTCATGTCTAGAAATATGTCCTTTAACTGGCGAAAGCGAATGATACGGAAAGTCAACGCCATGAACGATAGCTTGATAGACCTGGCATGCTCACCTCTTCCTAGCCACCACAAATCGTAACAGTCCGTTTCCTCACACCCACCAATCGAGGCACTGCCAAAGTCTATGATGAAAAGTGAGCCCGTACGTCCACGGGCTATATTGCGGACGTCGAGGTCATGGTGGTGAATGCCCACGTCATGTAGGGAGGTTACCGCGTTCTTAAGTTGGATTCTAAAGCATGTTTAGTATGGATAGGTAGAAAATGATCCCAAGAACTTACCAATCCTTTTTATCGAGTTCCTCCTCTGAGTTTACCGGCGCTCCAACGTATTGGAGGACAATGGCTTTTGTCCTCCTCCAAGAATCCTCAAAAGTACCGTAGAGGTAAGGTACATATGGCACCTTTTCTTTCATAAGGATTTTATATGCCTTGATTTCGACATCGAAAGTCAGCTCATCGAGATGCTCCTTCAATACAAGCCCCATCCCAGTTGAGTTGCACTATTTGGCCCGATGACTGGGAGCGGGAATGGGAGCTTGAGTTCGAATAAACCACTGTGGGTCAAATTGAAGGTTGAGTATGTGTGAAAAAAATCACAGTGGAATGTTTACCAGGTTTCCAAGGTCCTGAAGAGATCTGTGGGGCAGTGATGCCCGACGCAAAGCCGACAACTTTGGGATTCATGGTAATGGATGTTAGAGACAGATAATCCCAGATGGCATCGGAGAAACTGCGGGGCGATAGCAAGCCAGGGATTACGGTCGTAGGGTGTCTTCTTTCCAACTGTAAGCCCCGTGTTTCCTTTGGACTTTCGTGAGTTCCTCAGCCACCAAGGCCCCATCTCGAATAAGTTGGTCAAGGTAAAGATCCTTTGTGTTGCAGGACATATCGGACGATGTGTAAGACATTGTTTGCGAGCGACGTCCCCTTAACATCCAGGTGGGCGAGTGCTACATCCCTGTATACCAGGGTAAAACCTAGGATAACGCGCTTTGCTGCCAGGGCTGTCTCAGGAATTGTCTGCAATTCGCCCAGGAAACCATCACCTCCGGCGGGACACCAGCGTTACTCCACTCCGCGAGGATCTCGTCACTGATCAAACAGAGGAGCCACCGCACAATTAACAAAAAAAAGTCACCCACCCAGGGTTCATTACCATCGTCTTCATGCAGGGACTTATCGATTAAAGTTGGGAGGAAGGCCGAGGTTGCGGCATTGGCAATTGTTGTCCAGTCCTCAAAGAGGTTCAAAGTGGGGGGTCGGAGGAGTCAGAGGGGAACATTTTCGAAATACATTCTCGAATTTCCTTCACTTTTAGCGGTGTCTTGGGAAGGGTAGGCTCCTGAATCTTGAGAGAGGTAACCCTCACGGTGTCTTTTTCATTCGAAGGCGTCGGTTGAACCGCTTTGTGAGACCGTTGATACCCGGGCCTGGCGATAGTTGGGGACTCTGTTTACCATTTTTTGCGCCAGAAGTTGGCAGAGAGAGTGAATGTTAACCGTTACTTGCGGTGACGATGTCGATGACATTGCCGAACTGTGGAGGTTATAAGAAGAGTCAGACTCTAATCCAACATCGCACGACTGCCACGTGTCTTCAGCTTGTATCTTCTTGTCACATTGTCGAGCGCCTAAGTACTTTTTCACACGCTTGGACCAGCTAATATTTTTCCTCCCACTTCGAGTCTCTCCGAGCTTTGAGAATCGACTCGGCCATCGAGCATCATCGAATACAATCCGACGTATTTTACGCCGTTCTGCGTCCCTCTCGCGTCCACGGCTTTACGCGTTCATCCGGGGATTTTCCCTCGCCTCAGCACTATCTTTTACGGTTTTGATCTACCACTTCGCGTCAGCAGTGAACACATTCTTATTCACTCTACACAGGCACCAGTAAAGCCGTAAGGCTTCAGCGTTTTTACCGGTGCTTTATTTCTTCTCTACTGCACAGGTAATAGCTATATAAGCAGGACAGCACATAGGGTAAGTACTAGTCCAACTCATGATTTCATCAGCGTATAGCTCCTACGCCTGTTCATTTACAACGTCGTCCTGACGCCGTCAACATCTCGCAAGCTTATCATGTCCCCTTTGTAATCAGGAGCACCTATAACGACTGAATGCACGTGGACCGTCTGGTTAAACTACAGTTCCGCTCTACCAGATGAGAATAAATGGAGCCGAGGTGGTGCTCGTTCAGTCGCTCTAGCGTCGACATGTATAGGAGATAGAACGCTTGATAGAACAGACTTTTGAGGGTGTCATCGTGTAATCTAAAGGAAACTCCAAGTTCTCACCGATGTGTTAGAGTTCCCATATACCCAGCAAGACATTGACCGGGACTACTCAAAAAGTATGGACGGTTTCACAAGCTACCTGCACCCTCCAGAAACGATCCTGCCCAGCTAGCGCTGGGGGCCATGTCAAAAACGACCGACAGTGTTATGGGTGATTTGAACTTTCAAGCGGGACCGGACCAGGAAAATGAAAAGTATAGTGAGTATCGAGGAGATTCAGCTGTGAGAACCGAAGCGAAGGAATCGAGATTCGTGGAAGGCAGACACAGATGATAGGCTTCCGCAGAATTGGCGAATTAAGGTCTAGAATTACGATGGTGGTGGGAACAAAACGAGTAGGAAGATATCGCGGTCCCGGCGATTGGCTGGCCGTCAGCATGGTTTACATCCATACTGCCAGTCCAATGTGGTGTAGTGGTTAACATTGCTGTCTTTCATTCTCGATCAATACACCATTTCCCACAGCAGCCCGGGGTTCGATTCCCCGCATTGGAATCATATATGTCCGCCCTTTCTTTTTGAAAATCATAACAAGCAGCTCGTACGCCACATGGAGTAACACTATCAATCAGGGGACTGACCTACTACTTCTACTTCTACTCAGGTAGTAAAAGCATGATCATTGACTCAACACGGTCGAAAGGTTTTTCACATTTCTTTGTCCGTCTGAGGTAAGGCGGTAGGGTAGTAACCGCTGGGCTAGCATCGGTAGTCAAAAATTCAGCGGAGATTCAAATTCTGTTGGTTTATTCGACTTTTCGCCTCGAAGTAAGGAATGTTCTCGATGAATGTTATAAAGCATACTCTGGTGTTTGCCGGTGGTGGTCCGGTGTTCGAAAACACTTTCGGACAACAACTTCTCGTAGTAGTACTTATATGCTCCGATACACTCGAATCCGTAACAAAGCAAAGCCAATTGGGAGTACATAGGGTTTCCATCCTCTCCAAAAAAGGTTTGTCCACAGTCCCCGCCGACATGCCGGTTGGACAAATAAAAAAGCGTTACACGGCAGGTCGAAACATAGGTTGGGGATATTGTTGATGTTGAGTGTATCCTCTCAACTTCAAGCTATAAATCTAGCAGCCGCTTCGACGTCGGCTTCGGGATTGGAGAGGTTAAAATTCTCAGAACAGTGCCTTTTTGCCACCTGTGAATTGGACATACAATTAAGGTACTCCCAGCAATGAAATGGTACCGATAAAAACCCAGGAATTCACGGTGACAATCGAGCCATTCTGGGGCCAAATAAACAAACACGTTACATCGCTCAAAAAATCAGAAGCAAACAAACAACTTTGAAGCCTGAACACGGAAGAATTGAATTGAAGCAAAAGAGAGTCCGACCCCGCAAGTTCGGGCGCCTTCGGTTCCTCGGACAGAGCCGAGAATACGGTTTGGAATCGCCATCATCGACCCTTCTTGGCTACGTTCGCTCGTGTCCTGTTCTAATCCCACTCTATGACCTGAGACACACGCTCCCGGTCGACAGACTATATCCCGTGAGTACCATCAGCTATATAAGCAGAGAGTAGCAGACCTCATGATTCTTCCAACTTATACTTATTTCACTCAACCTTCGCGTGGATATCCTACAACGTACAGCAGCCTCTCAGGGTTATCATGTCACCTCTTTCTACCAATAATAGCCATAATGACCGAGTCCAAATCGAGCTGCTCTCGAACTTTGAAGGTACGGGACTCGTGCATGGACAAAATCGACCCCTCGTTTACTCATGATTTGTTTGGAATACTTAGATCCCAGAGTGGAGGAAGCAATCACGATGCTGGCGGAGGCCTTCGGAAACTGTGTGTTTCTTAAATTCCTCATAATTACCAGAGTGAGACAAATTGGTTTGAAGACGTTGTGACGGAGTATCTGGACGGCGGGCGTGATGATCTGAGACGGATGTCATTTACCACTTTTGTTCGAGCTACGGTCGTGAAAGGGTTATTCTACGTTGCCATTGACACAGACTCTGGAAAGGTCATCGGAACTGCATGCTGGTTCCCGCCAGGCGTCGATCTTTTAGCCGAGTGGGTAGCGATTCAGCCTTTTTTCATTCCGGGTACGAGACACTGAGTTATGTTTAGTGAGGAACAGAAAGAAAAGTCGGGGGCCGTGAATTTCTTTGCTATTTTGGAGAAAGAAGAGCCCGCCATTCATAAGTTTTGGATGAATAATGTACGTATCTCAACTTTTAACTTGGTTACAGACTCTCATTCGTCGTGGTTACAGTACCTTCCGTGTCTTAATGACATTTCAGATAACAATCTCGGGGACGGGCTATGGAAAAATTTCAAACTCGAGAATTGGAGCCTATGGTGCCTTTCTGTGAAGTCGACTCATCAACGACGTGGAATATCTCGAAAACTACTTCAAATGGGGGAAGAGCAGGTAAGGGTACAAACTAGACGTCTAGATACAACAGATTCCCATCTGTCCTTTCCCAGGCTTTCAAACAGGGTGTTTTCGCCTGCCTTCAAACAAGCGAAACCAATGTGAGGGTCTCTTTGAAATCTGCCTTTCCTTCTAATTGTCTGACTCTTGTGAATCCTTCATAGGTCAAAATGTATCAAAAAATGGGGTACAAAATTGCTGGATCCGAGCGAGTGACTGCACCACACAATGGAACCGGTTACGATGCCTATGCTTTGTATAAGACTTCGGATATGTAGAGTATACCCTTGAACGAGCTCTCCACCGGCACGTTATAATATTCGAACTTCCCATCTTCTATGGCATAAAATGTGTTCAATTAATACTCATACCTACCCGGGTTCTTCTACCACTTCTCCCACTGTCGAGGGGCTGCCTCCATGGGTCATTAACGTGCTAAGTACTGAAGTTCAATGCTTTGATTTCCCATTCTCTTCGGCTTGGCGCGTTTATCTCCTTGATTTTCCACTTTGTGCGATGTACCGGATATTGACGTTGATACCAACAGCCAACGAGAGCTCCGTAAAAACGAGAGAAGCGACTTCGGACAAAAAGAAAAGGCCCCAACTGGAAGGTATTAGAATCTTCGTCCTTTCTCGACCGAGTGATGAAGAATGGCGTCAGACTTCATACAGGATAAGTTATAACCAGATCAATGAACGCTCAGGATTTAATCTGAGCCACGTACAGAATACCATAGACTTGGACTTATTATATCGAAATAAGTCTGGGATGAACCAGACCATCTCACCCGCAATACACCAAAGCACGCTTTTCAATATATCGAAAACAATTCTTCCTTCGAGGTGAAAAGTCCGAATGAACGACTGTCACTACCGACAAGAAGCGATTTTCCGTCACTCTACACTTTGAGGAGATAGCTCAGTCTCATGGTGTTGCTCTATCGTGGCGTGCGAGCTTTAAAAAATGAGAGATTTGAGACGAGCAATTAGCTTGGAGGCAAACAGTAAGATAAGAAATTAAGACCCGGGGAGGACGGTCAACTTCATCGTAGCTCCAATGCGGGGAATCCAGTCCCGTGGCTGCTGTGCCAAGCCCTGAATAATGTTAAGCCACCACACTGGTCTGATTTTAATCGGAAATCTCATATCGCATCATGACCCCGCTGGCGCCAAATCCAGTCCTTCCGGACCGCGGTACTTCACCTGCAGCCCGCTCAATTCCACAACCACTAACCAGCCTAAGGCCCTTGATTCGCCCGCAGAAGTTTATTATCTGTGTCTATCCTGTACGAATCTCGATCGATTTTACTATGTTCCACTTGCAATTTCAAATCACCACCAACGTCGTCTGTCGTTTTTACGCGCTCCCAGCGTTAACTGTACTCTCAATGCGGCTGAAGGTTCCTTTTGAAAGAAGGGACGCTTGGGACTTACCATTTCTTTCTCTTCCTTTCTGAGCTCTCGTTGCATTCTTCAAGGTCTTGTGCCGGGTATATGTAAGCTTGAGCCCATCCGGTTTGGAGTTTCCTTTAGACATGACGACACGTTCACAGGTCTGTTCTATATTCGCACGGAATTATTCCTCATGTTGATACTAGAGCGAACTGAACGCACGCCGCGCTGGCACCATTTAATCCTTCTGATGGTGCGGAACTGCGGTAGTTAAAAAGATCGGTCCACCCGAGTCCGTGCTACCAAACAAAGCCGATCGTAAGTACATAGTGTTTCCCATCTCTCTAAAAAGGAATGGGGCGTCCCACGGAAAGTCGAAACGTAGGTTGAGGATATCGTTGAGATTGAACTCTCCAATTCGGCGTACCCTACTTTTACCCCTGCGTTTTTTCCCCCTCAAAAGCAAATCTTCAACCTATACATCTAATAAACTGCATGAGCGTCGGCCTCATGATTGAAGGGGTTAGAAACTATCAGAAGAGTGTGTTTATGTCACCTACTCACTAGAAGAGGAACATACAAAGAGGGAGGACACATGCATTTGTGCCCTTGGCAACAACAATAGGACTTGACGTGCCAGGGACTGCTGTGGTGATGAGGAAGACGAAAGTAACCGTGCTTAGGAACACAAGGAAAAGGTCCAATGTCGTATATGTGTGGTTGTTTCGGTAGGAAGAACGATTGTGGGGGCTGTCGAGGCGTTACATATCTATGATAGGCACAACGTGTGTATAATTGACGGTCAAGGATGTGTGAGTATTCGGAGAAAACAAAATCAAAAACAACTGTTGACCAGGAAGCTAGCCCACCGAGGGTCGAACTCGCAGCCTTCAGATAACCCGCTTCTAAGAGTCTGACGCTCTATCCGATTGAGCTAGGCGGGCGGGCAGTTTCTAAACTCTCTTAATCTAATGTATGACTTCTGAGTTGTAAATTCAAACTCCGATTGCTCCACGGGATCAACTTCGTCTTCAGCTTATTGATTGATCTTTTCGCTTCTCCTTCATTCGCGATCCTCTCTACTGGGTGTTGGAACACACCATCAGTGACTCAAACCGCGCCTAGTCTGGTTTGTAGTCTTTTGCGAGTTACCTGCTGGAAGAGAAATTGCCCGAATTGTTTGATGAAGTGTCGTTCTAGTTCTAGACTTCGCCTCTGTTGCCAGCTATGCAATCTACCCCGCTACTCTCGCTGTCGTTCATCCTTCTCGTCCTCGCTTGCATTTTGGTTGTTGGGGCGAGTGAATCGGTTCAACGAGGGGTCCACGACGATTGACCCGGTGCACTTATATGTTTACTTGGGTCTGATTCTCAACGATTTTCCTCGCAAACATGGTCTAGTTCCTTTGGCCACAGTTATGTGGAATAATGTGCGGTATGTTCCTCACCTTTTGACAATTCAACCTTCTCCTAGTTGCTTTGCCTTCCTTTCGAGGTCACAAAACGTTTTCTCTTGTCTCTTCTTGACTCTTTACTTATCCATAACCTCTACGAACTCTTATCGAGAGGGAAAGTTGTTATCCGCTCTGCCTTTCCCTCTCTCCTCTCTCGAGTTTGGATCGTGAGCGCGTGGGCTCTTCAGCTATCATGATGCGTGAAATGGCTACCGTGTTGATTGCAGAAGAGTTCCAAGCGGCGCCCGCTGATATGACTGGATTAACCCAAACCCCTTCCTTCTCTTCCTCCGGATTGCATCAATTTGGGTTATATATGATTTTCAAGCATTAGGAAGAAGAAAGCCTGGAATAGCAAGCATATCTTTGATAGGTCTTGAACCGGTCCAGCTTAGCGTCCACGATCGTCTCTTACTTTTCATCCCGCTTCCTCTCAACCTATGGGTGTTACCTTCCAAACGCCAACCCCCCTTTGCCTGTCTCCCGTCGGCATTGCCTCCTGAACATGAATATATGTCATCGAAAGCGTTTATCTCCATTTCGATGCTGAAGAAATTCAGGGGACCATAGGCCTCCACATGCACAGCTCCTCCGATTGTTTCATGTTCGTCGGGTTAGGGCTCTCTTCGCGACTTCGACTCAACCATTGGTATCAATGCTCACGGAAAGCGGAATACTTCTAATAATCGGGTAGGAAAAGAACGAGGTGATGTATTAGTAAGTGCTCAGTACATATCTCTCCATACATATGGCTCATAAGGTCCATCGTTTATCCATAAATCATCGCTTTCCAAATTCTCTACGGCCCGTTATATAGGGTATGATACACAACGCCTGCGTTCGCGAGTTAGTTAGGCACCCCGATATCCTCGGTTTCGTGAAAGTAGGAACACCTACAGATTAGGAAAAACGGGTAATTTCGTTCTTTTACGCTATGCAACCATCGCCATCCGGAGTTTCCGCTGAATAGAAGGAACGATTAGAGATTCTGGTCGAACAGTAAGAATTTTTTAAGATGACCCGTACCGATCCTGCATAGGGCAGGTTCCCTGTTCTGGACTGCGACGGCAAGCACAAAGAGGCAGACGAAGAGGACGAGGCGTGAGGTGAAGATGTTTGTCAGGAACTTCATTGTTTGTTGGTAAGTTGGAGGGTGAATGGGGGTGGTAGATTTTTTTGAGCTTGAAATGTTGACTGGCTATATATGAGCCAACTGACCGATCAACCCGCCCGTTCAAATTGTTTGTTTTCTCTTTATGGTCTCTGATATCAACCCTTCTTGTCTGTGCTTGCTTTTGCTCGGCCTTGCCTTGGTAACAGATCCTACGCAGCGTACCAAAGTGATACACGATGCAGAACAACGAATTTGAATACTTTCAGTACAGGCGTGGTGCTAGACTATGATCATCATTCAATCAGAGTAGAGATGAAACTAACTTAGGTATGTATCTACCTACTTGCATTGAGGAATTTTGGACGTTTGACAGGACGTTTGACAGCGGGATGGATCCCAACCGCCCAGGCTTATCTGGACGAATACAAAAATGGGTGAGTAAATGAGCGTTTCTTTCAAACTTTCCCTGAAAAGTGTACGTTTGAGTCCTTTTACCTCCAGGGCGGCCCACGGATCATCGTTTTCGAATGAATCGTCTACATACATGTATCGTGATTGATTCTGTCATTTTCCAGGGTTTCTCCGCTATTCAGGTGTCCCTTGTGGAAAGCGCTGCCAGTGAAATTTGATTGAACTTGGAAATTTTTGGATTCTTTCACGGTTCGGCTCCTTATACGGTCGAAGCCGCTGATGATCGGAAGGAAAAAGGTGTTGGTTGTTGGAAGTCGTGGGTTCTAGAATTGAACCATACGATTGCTCACCGCTCTCGGACGGCCGGGAAATAAGTTCACAAAACGACTTGGAGACCACCAGTTGAGAGGCCATTCATCCGTGCACTCTTTTGGCAGACAACGTAATAAGAAACAAGGACGAGCCTCCCCTTCTACATCAATCAAGGCGGCGTTTGTTCCAAACAGATACAACGTTTTGGTTCATGACGCCCTTGTGATGCACTGCAAAGTTGGCAGTGCGGGGGCTGATTCCCACTACTTTTCCACTCGGAGTAATAAGTGTATTATACCTATAACGGAACTTATGAAATGAAGGGTGGTAAATCTGGCCTTTTGTACTTTCGACCACCAAGAACGGTTTTTTGGTAATTGGTGGGCGATCGAATATGGGAAACCTTACCTCTACGTCGTTTCTCCTCCTTTTTATCTTAAGCGTATCTTCATCGATCATCACCGTCGGCGCAACAAATTCCAATTCTGATTTGCTTTCAGGTGAATACCAAAGTTTCAAAGGCGGTTTTCGTCGAGAAAGCTGATATTTCTCCTCCCTCATCGATCTCCTAGAGGGAATACAGAAATGGCACGACTCCTTTCGGTATATGGAACTCGTCGGGATGTCTATCTTCGGGACTAGTCGGTATACTCTCGACGTCGCTGGAACAGAGGATTGGAAGAAGCTTATGCCGTCTGGAGGGCACACCGTTCGGTTTCAGCACTATAATCGAAATAGAAATCAAACAGAGATGGTCCCGTTTACGGTCTCCCTGTTCCATCAACTGAAATGTCTCGAGATCTATCATGAAGAGTATATCGCGAGCGCTCCACCTTCCCCTCGTGTTCGACATTGTTTGAACTACTTGAGGCAGCAGATTTTGTGTCGGATGAATTTGAGGTTGGAGAGCACGAAGGATGAAGGGGCAAGGTCGGTCAGGCAGTATGAGACTGTTTGCAGGGATTGGAGTTTGGTTTATCGGGCTGCGGAAAACTTTGGAATGGAAGGGGGCTGGTTGGAACTTTGAAGGATCACTATATGGTTAAGTGTTACAGAGGTATAATTTCGTTGGTACTTATATTATATGGTACATAGTAGTAAGTAGACCCATCTATGTCCTCAGAGAAGAGTTACAACTACACTCTTGTTTCATCGCACGTAGCGTGATGGAATTTACAGGCTCAGAAACACCAGTTCCATCCTCCACTGAGCTAAATGCCACACTCCGATGTTGAGTGTCGGTTCCAGCTCGGAAGGACGTTAGAGTAGCTTCGGTCGATGAATCCCAAGCTTTTCCTTGGTACACTCGTAGCATGATGAGCAGCGGGGATATGATCTGAATGGTCGGTTCGTAAGTAATCAAAGATTAGAAAGGGACGTAAACATAACACACCTGAACTTCGGCCAAAGACCCAAGGAAAACAAATTGAACGGGATGATTGACGATATACAGGCCGAGGAAGATAATCGACCAGACTGTGTATAGGGCTGATGACTCGACGAGTATGGCCCCTACGCTGGTGTATCTATCCACATATTCGTCACCTTCAACAAGAGAATGAGGTTTCAGAGTGGTTCGTTGAGAAAATAGAAAGGAGCATAGTACACACCAATGTACTTCATGAAACGTCTTCTATACTTGACTAACCGGAATATCATTAATCCCGTTGTGATGATGGTGAAAGACACGGTCAAAGAGTAATACGCGTAGGCAAAATTGAGTGCATTAGCGTTCCAAAATGACGAACTTTTCCGGGTTGACTCGATCATAGTCACGATACTCATGGCTAGGATTCAGAGAAGCAAAATCAGGAATTGCTCCTGTACCCGAAACGAGGATGTAGGAGGGACGTACCAAATGAACAGAGAAAGAACATACAGGGGACCATGACAACTAAGAGACGGTATCTTGAGTTTCCGTAGATAGTGTAGAGTCTCCACAGCTGGACAAAGTTAAACGAAACGTGAGACAGTTAGCTGTCTGAGAAACGGAGGACTCGGAGGATCTCACTAGCAAAGCATCAGACATCCAGTTTGACCCAAAAAATGCAACGAGACCGACGATCGTTATAGCCTCTGAATAGATATGTAAATTGTACGCTGCAGGTCCACCAGGGTAATTCCGATTCCACACGTAGCCGAGTTCTATAGTCCTAGTATTCGCAGCGATGTATATCGTTCCGAGAATGAACATAAAGGAGATGTAGAACATTTGGTAGAGTGCAGCACGAGAATTGCGTAGGTTTCGACGGTATGTGACTCCACAGATGAGGAGCAGTGTGAGTGCGACTCCGTAGGCCACCTTTGAAAAGCCAAACGATTCACATGAGATCATAAAAGGAGATGATGAGAATTGAACTCACTCCGCAGATGGTTGTAGAACCGATGAGATTGACACTGTCGTTCACTAGATCCCACTTTGTTTCTCCCACAGGAACCCACGTACTTGGATCGGACATATTCCCGCTCATTCTTCTCGTTCGAGTTGTTTTGTTGGGAGACGACGGTGGGGGGCTGACTGAGATTAGGGTCGCGAACACAAGTTCATTCTTCTTTCGGGTCGTCCATACATTATAAGTATATAAGAATCGCTTTTGGCTTCCCTAAGAGGTTGCACTGTTGCCACCATCATCACTTGATATGTTCACCCATTG